TGACATGATATGATAAAATCTGATTTGGTCAATCGCATGAATATTTGGGACGATGGCGAAAACTATCAGAAAAATCTGCCACTGTGAAAAGTGGAATCAATCCGAAGCTACACGGAAAAAGCTTGTAGCCGAAGCTGTCCAAGCTGTCAAAGTTGAAAAGAACTGAGAGATGGTAAATTGGAATCTGAATTTGAGAAAAAAAAATTGCAAAAAAGATAGAAACAAACATGTTAGATCATTCTTTCTTTTTTTGTTTTTTGGTTAGATTCATGTGTTTTTTATGTCAATTTATAATTCCACAATAGTAGAGAAGAAATATAGTGAACGGATTGTTTTTTCTCGTCATCGTTATGGTTCTCTTGCTTCAACTATCTTAGTAGTATTTTTATTCTCACAGATCTTTTAGTTAAATAATTGTTTGTTTGTATAAAAATTGTCACATGCAAAATCACATTGGAAATAGCTGTAATAAGTTAGCTACCAACAGATCTACCGATTTGGCTTTAATTGGTTAATCATCGTCATGTGTCACAAACTCTACTTATAAGCACATAGTTTGTACATTTAGCCACTAACATACATATAACCAATTTTTAAACTAAAGAAATTATCTCTTTTCTTTTTGTTATTTCTCAAGTATTTCCAATTTTAGAAAGATAAATATTCAAGGCCTTTGGTGAACAACTTTTTTTTTCTAGAATATTGGCAGATCTAAGAATCTTCAACATTTGACCCCTAAGAAAAAAATAATAAGCGTTCTTATGGTCTTATCGCAGTTTTGTAAATTTTATTTCGGATCTTCAAATTCTTGGTCATCGTTAAATACTTTTCTCTCTTACTTTGAAAATCAATTTGATAGTCGAATTTATTTTTCCAACCTACACACTGTCACAAACCTTATATACGTTTCCTCATTTAAGAGTAACCACGTGACTCTCAACAACATTAATATATATATATTTTCCTAACATTTCTGCCATTTATTGTTTTCACCAAATAAATAAAGGTAACACAACACACATCTTCACACAGATTCTACATTCACATTCGTTTTTATCAAATATATAAAATTTAAAACAATTGAATAAAATAGACTATTGCAAAAAATACATTATCTTACTAATACATTTTAACAGAAATATTTACACATGCAAATTGCAAAACACACAATCTGTTTCTCTTTGTTCTCACCTTGCAACGGTAAGAAAATTAATTTTCATGTGATGTGACACAACTGTAACAAAAAACATATTTAAATTTCATCTCTCTCAAATTTTATTATATTATTATAAAATGTATTGATTCGTAATAAATCCCAACCAATACCAGAGAACCAAACCACGACACACACCACAATATATATATTCTACTCCAAATCTTTTCTTTTTTTAGGAACCTTTCAATTTTACGAACAATAAAAAAAAAATTGTTTGTTATGACAGGTTGCTTCAGCTTGTCTGAAGCAATAGAACGGACTTACGAATCCGGATTCAAAAGATCCGGTTTACGTCCCGTAACCATCGATTTGAAAGACGGAACCGTGGTTCACTTCTGGGTC